AGTCAACTGATCGAGAAAAAAGATTCCGTGTCGTGGTACCTTTCATTTCGTTGGAAGAGGCGAGTGGAAGGGATTCGTGTTTTGATTCCACCGGAGGCTGTGGGAGGGTTGTCTTGGAGTTGTGGTTGTCGATTTGTGCGAATAGGTCCTTGAAGCACCGCCCTGCAACCAACGTGAACCTTTGCTGAGCTTTCGTCCATCTTGTGGTGGACATCGTTAGAGCAGATATGAAGTGAAACTGGACTTCGAGCTATTGTGACATGATTCTCCATTTCGACGGGAAAGTTGGTAGCAAGGAATTCGTGATGTGGTGTTACCAGAAACCGAAGAGGGAAAACTCATCTCACCGTCCTGCGACCCCGAAGAAATTGTGCTGAGCTTTTGTCTGTACTGCGACAAACATCATCAAAGCAGGTGTCCATACTTCACGAAACAAAGCAAAACTATACTAAACCAAGAGAAAAGGTGTCCGGCTGCAACCCTAATCGGTATTTTTATGAACCTAACTTCGCGATCTTAATGAGGCGTCCCATGAGTTGGTTGGCTACTTCAACCCTACTCAGCATGCTTGCTCGCACTTCCGGTTTGGGAAGCAACTTCGCTCATTTGCAAGCATGTAGAATAAGGTTGAAGTAGCCAACCAACTTATGGGACGCCTCATTCAGATCACAAAGTTAGGTGTATAAAAACAGCCCCTAGGGTTGCAGCCGGCCACCTTTTCTCTTTGTTTAGTCTATTTTGGCTCTGTTTCGTAAAGTATGCATTCTTGAAGACCAAGATGTTGTGGCCTCGGGTGTGGTCGCAGTCTCCTTTCAATTGATAGAAGTGGGTTGACCTCGTTGTCGCAACTTGGTCTTGTTGTCATGGCGACTATGTAGAACACACCGAGTCCGAAGTCGTCTGCCAGAGTAGTTGTCATGATTTCCAGTATCTGACCGTGGACTTGATACATTCTCAGACGTTTCGCCGGCATCGTAGTCGGCATCATCAGTGAGTTTTGCCATTAGATAGCAAGTGTGATGGGGCCACACTAGAATTGCCACAAAAAGGCATACATTTTGACGAGTGGAATGTAAACAAGTGAGAAGTTGTGATAGGGCGGCAATGGGATAAGAGGGTAAAG